CTCCCTCCCTCCCTCGTCCTTCCCTCCTTCCTCCCTCATCCCTCCCTCCTTCCTCCTCCCTCCCTCATCCCTCCCTCCTTCCTCCCTCCCTCCCTCCTCCCTTCTTCCCTCTCCGCCGCCTTTCCCCATCTTACGTCCTGCCTCCTCCACCCCCTTCTTCCCGAGCCCTCGGAGAACGGCTCGGAACCGCCCGAGCCCCCCTCGTTTTTCAATCGGCGGCGAGCCCGTGGGGCATAGATCGATGCAAAAAAGCGGGGTCGCCTGCGCCGACATTTTCGCGTCAGCCGCCCGCGTAAGGTCGCGTGTGCGTGCCCTCGCTTCAAGTGTGACGTGCCGCCTGGGCGGCCCGCGTTAGTCACCGCGTAAGGTCGCTGTGTCATCTCGCGTAAGACCAGTTTTTACCTAACAGCGAAGACTGATAGGTTTCTAGTGGGATCAAAAGAGAGCAGCAGATCACTCCACAGGGGGGTCCGGGCAGGTGTTGGGAGTTGCCGGGCGGCAGGTGCCGGGCTCGTTTTTCACCAACAGTCACACACTTCGTGCTCTTCGCCTTCCAGAACTCCATTCCCAGGCCACATTCTGAATACCCGGATGCAACAGTCATAAAATACACCTTCGTGCTCTTCGAGATCCCAGAACTCCATTCCCAGGCCACATTCTGGAGGGCCGAATGCAACAGTCACACACTTCGTGCTCTTCGAGTTCCCAGAACTCCATTCCCGGGCCACATTCTGGAGGGCCGGATGCAACAGTCACCCACTTCGTGCTCTTCGAGTTCCCAGAACTCCATTCCCGGGCCACATTCTGGAGGGCCGGATGCAACAGTCACACACTTCGTGCTCTTCGAGTTCCCAGAATTCCATTCCCGGGCCACATTTTGAATGCCCGTAGCCAACTGTAGGCCACTTCGTGCTCTTCGAGTTCCCAGAACTCCATTCCCGGGCCACATTTTGAATGCCCGTAGCCAACTGTAGGCAACTTCGTGCTCTTCGACTTCCCAGAACTCCCATTCCTGGCCACATTTTCAGCAGGGGCAAGAGCACGACGAGGAGGAGGACGAGCAAGACCAGGAGGACGAGGACGAGCAGGAGCAGGACGAGGAGCAGGAGGAGCAGGAGACGAAGGACGAGCAGGAGGAGGAGGAGGACGAGCAGGAGGAGGAGGACGACCAGGAGGAGGAGGACGACCAGGAAGAGGAGGAGGAGGAGGAGGAGGGGAGGGGGAGGAGCACCAGGAGGAGGAGGAGGAGGAGGAGGAGGAGGAGGAGGAGGAGGACGAGGACGAGGAGGAGGAGGAGGGGGGGGGAGAGTACCAGGAGGAGGAGAACGAGGACCACCAGGAGGAGGAGGAGGAGGAGGAGGAGGAGGAGGAGGAGGAGGAGGAGGAGAGAGCACCAGGAGGAGGAGGACGAGCAAGACGAGGAGGACGAGAACGAGGACGAGCAGGAGGAAGAGGAGGAGGAGGAGGAGGAGGAGGAGGAGGAGGAGGAGGACGAGAGGACGAGGAGGGGGAGAAGGGGGAGAAGGAGGAGGAGGAGGAGGAGGAGGAGGAGGAGGAGGAGGAGGAGAGGACGAGGAGGGGGAGGAGTGGGAGAAGGAGGGGGAGGAGGAGGGGGAAGAGGAGGAGGAAGAACGAGGACACCAGGAGTAGGAGGAGTAGGATGAGGAGAGGAGAGGAGAGGAGGAGGAGGAGAGCGCACCCGGAGAGAGGACGAGGAGGACAGGAGACGAGAACGAGGGCGAGGCAGGAGGAAGAGGAGGAGGAGGAGGAGGAGAGGAGGAGGAGGAGGAGGAGAGAGCATGAGAAAGAGGAGAGGAAGGAGAGGAGGAGGAGGCAGGCTGAGGCTGAGGCTGTCACTGCGACTGCCGTTGCCACTGCGACTGTCATCGCGAATGCGACTACGACTGCGAGAACAGCAGAATTCTACAACTGGATTCTCATCTGAATCTTAAGGGAATGCTTCCAGATATGCTCCTACACATCGCTGTTAGGTTGCTTTGCCGGGATAATTACCTAACAGCGAAGACTGATAGGTTTCTAGTGGTGTAAAAAGAGAGCAGCACATTACTCCACAGGGGGGTCTGGGCAGCCGTTGGGGAGCCGTTGGGGTTTGCCGGGGGGGATCGTTTTTCGCATACAGTCACACACTTCGTGCTTTTCGATTTCCCAGAACTCCATTCCCGGGCCACATTCTGAATGCCCGGAGCCAACTGTAGGCCACTTCGTGCTCTTCGACTTCCCAGAACTCCATTCCCGGGCCACATTTTGAATGCCCGTAGCCAACTGTAGGCCACTTCGTGGTCTTCGACTTCCCAGAACTCCCATTCCCGGGCCACATTTTGAATGCCCGGAGCCAACTGTAGGCCACTTCGTGGTCTTCGAGTCCCCAGAACTCCATTCCCGGGCCACATTTTGAATGCCCGGAGCCCACTGTAGGCCACTTCGTGCTCTTCGAGTTCCCAGAACTCCATTCCCGGGCCACATTTTGAATGCCCGGAGCCAACTGTAGGCCACTTCGTGCTCTTCGAGTTCCCAGAACTTCATTCCCGGGCCACATTTTGAATGTCTGAAGGCTGCCTAGCTGAGGCTGAGCAGCTGAGGCTGTAGGCATGCTTGAGGCTGAGGCGGGGCTGAAGGCAGCTGAGGCTGAGGCTGAGGCAGGCTGCTGCTGAGGCAGGCTGAGGCTGAGGCTGAGGCAGGCTGAGGCTGAGGCAGGCTGAGGCTGAGGCTGAGGCTGATGCAGGCTGAGGCTGAGGCAGGCTGAGGCTGAGGCCAAGGCTGAAGGCAGACTGAGGCTTTGGCTGAAGCAGGCTGAGGCTGAGGCTGAGGCTGATGCAGGCTGAGGCTGAGGCAGGCTGAGGCGGAGGCCGAGGTTGAAGGCAGACGCAGGCTGAGGCTGAGGCTGAGGCAGGCTGAGGCTGAGGCAGGCTGAGGCTGAGGCTGAGGCTGATGCAGGCTGAGGCTGAGGCAGGCTGAGGCTGAGGCCGAGGCTGAAGGCAGACTGAGGCTGAGGCTGAAGGAGGCTGAGGCTGAGGCAGAGGCAGGCTGAGGCAGCCTGAGGCAGGCTGATGCTGAGGCAGGCTGAGGCTGAGGCTGAGGCTGATGCAGGCTGAGGCTGAGGCAGGCTGAGGCTGAGGCCGAGGCTGAAGGCAGACTGAGGCTGAGGCTGAAGCAGGCTGAGGCTGAGGCTGAGGCAGGCTGAGGCTGAGGCTGAGGCAGTCTGATGCTGAGGCAGGCTGAGGCTGAGGCTGAGGCTGATGCAGGCTGAGGCTGAGGCAGGCTGAGGCGGAGGCCGAGGCTGAAGGCAGGCTGAGGCTGAGGCTGAAGCAGGCTGAGGCTGAGGCTGAGGCAGGCTGAGGCTGAGGCTGAGGCAGGCTGATGCTGATGCAGGCTGAGGCTGAGGCTGAGGCTGATGCAGGCTGAGGCTGAGGCAGGCGGAGGCTGAGGCCGAGGCTGAAGGCAGACGGAGGCTGAGGCTGAAGCAGGCTGAGGCTGAGGCTGAGGCAGGCTGAGGCTGAGGCTGATGCAGGCTGAGGCTGAGGCAGGCTGAGGCTAAGGCTGAGGCTGATGCATGCTGAGGCTGCGGCAGGCTGAGGCTGAGGCGGAGGCTGAAGGCAGACTGAGGCTGAGGCTGAAGCAGGCTGAGGCTGAGGCTGAGGCAGGCTGAGGCTGAGGCAGGCTGAGGCTGAGGCTGATGCAGGCTGAGGCTGAGGCAGGCCGAGGCCGAGGCCGAGGCTGAAGGCAGACTGAGGCTGAGGCTGAAGCAGGCTGAGGCTGAGGCTGAGGCTGAGGCAGGCTGCGGCTGAGGCTGAAGCAGGCTGATGCTGAGGCAGGCTGAGTCTGAGGCTGAGGCTGAGGCTGATGCAGGCTGAGGCTGAGGCAGGCTGAGGCTGAGGCCGAGGCTGAAGGCAGACTGAGGCTGAGGCTGAAGCAGACTGAGGCTGAGGCTGAGGCAGGCTGAGGCTGAGGCTGAGGCAGGCTGATGCTGAGGCGGGCTGAGGCTGAGGCTGAGGCTGATGCAGGCTGAGGCTGAGGCAGCCTGAGGCTGACGCCGAGGCTGAAGGCAGACTGTGGCTGAGGCTGAAGCAGGCTGAGGCTGAGGCTGAGGCAGGCTGAGGCTGAGGCAGGCTGAGGCTGAGGCTGAGGCAGGCTGTGGCTGAGGCTGTGACTGCGACTGCCGTTGCCACTGCGACTGTCATCGCGAATGCGACTACGACTGCGAGAACAGCAGAATTCTACAACTGGATTCTCATCCGAATCTTAAGGGGAATGCTTCCAGATATGCTCCTACACATCGATGTTAGGTTGCTTTGCCGGGATAATTTGTTTACCGTCGCCCAAGAGAGAAGGGGCCGGGCCCTGTCAGAAGGCTCGGAAATCACCCTGCCCTCCGAAGACGCAGAAACTTTCTCAGACGGCCGGAGGGCGCCGAGAAGCCCCGCCGCCTTCTGAGAGGGCCTTCTCCTTCTCACTTTCCCCCCTCGCTCGCCGCCGATCTATCAGACCGTGCGAGGAGACCCGAAGCCGATCTCTGGAGCCTCTCCCAGACATCGTCCCTGGCTCGCTCTCGGAGCCGCGACCCGCTGCCGCGTTCCCCTCCTCCCTCCTCGTCCCCCCTCCTCCTCCTCCTCCTCCTCCTCCTCCTCCTCCTCCTCCTCCTCCTCCTCTTTTGCTTCCTCGTTCCTCCTCCTCCTCCTCCTCCTCTTTTGCTTCCTCGTTCCTCCTCCTCCTCTTCCTCCTCCTCCTCCTCCTCCTCTTCATCCTCCTCCTCCTCTTCCTCCTTCTCCTCCTTCTCCTCTTCCTCTTCCGCCTCCTCTTCCTCTTCCTCGTCTTCCACCTCTTCCTCTTCCTCTTCCTCTTCCTCTCTCTCTCTCTATCCCGGTTCCTCTTCCTCTCTCGTTCCTACCCTCTCCCTTTTCTCCTCGTTCCCCCCTCTTCTCGCGGTCGCGGCCGCCGCGCGCGCCGCTGTGCGGCCCCGAGGGCCGCGGCGGAGGCGGAGCTGCGTCGGCGCCATCCGTCGCCAGGCGCCCGCCCCGCGCCGCTTCTGCGCGGAGCCTCCCTCCTCTCGGTATCATTCAGCGCAATCCTCCTCTTCCTCCTCATCAGTATCATCATCATTATCATCATTATCATCATCATCATCATCATCATCATCATCATCATCATCATCACCATCAGCATCATTATCATCATCATCATCATCATCATCATCATCATCATCATCATCATCATCATAATCATCATCATCATCATCATCATCCATCATCATCATCATCCATCATCATCATCCATCATCATCATCATCATCATCATCATCATCCTCATCATCATCATCATCATCATCATCATCATTATCATTATCATTTAATCGCTTCGCTCATTTCCGCCGGCCCATATTGTCGCACGCGTTGGGCTAGCCGAGTTTTGGGGCCGCTGGGGGCCGTTTTTGGGGCCTCTTGGGGCCTCTTTTGGGCCTCTTGGGCGCCTCTTGGGGCGTCTTGGGGGCCTCTTGGGGGCCTCTTGGGGCCTTTTTGGGCCTCCTGGGCGCCTTCTGGGGCGGAGGGCTCGATTTTTCAGTTCTCGGTTCCCCTCTTGAGCCCCTCTTGGGCCCGTCTTGGGGCCTCTTGGTCCGTCTTGGGCGGCACTTGGGCCGTCTTGGGGGCCCTCCTGGGCCGTTCCGGGGCCGTCTTGGGAGCCTCGTGGGCCGTCTTGGAGCGGTCTTGGGGGCCTCTTGGGCCGTCTTGGAGCGTCCGGAAGCCGAAAAAGCCAGAACGCAAAAAACATAGAAAAAAACAATGAAAATCAACGATTTTGGCCTCTTGGGGCCCTCTTCGGAGGCCTCTTGGAAGGCCCTTGGGGCGTCTTGGAGGCCTCTTGGGCTGTCTTGGGGCCCTGTTGGGCGTCTTCGGGCGATCTTTGGCCGTCTCGGGGCCCTCTTGGACCGTCTTGGAGGCTTCTTGGGGACCTCTTGGCCCGTCCTGGGGCCCTGTAACAGGGCTCCGGCATCTCTGGCCCGACCTTGCCAGGACCTTGCCGGGGACTTGCCGGGGACTTGCCGGGGACTTGCCGGGATCTTGCCGGGGTACTTTTCGTCCGGGGACCCCCAGGGGCCGCCCCGCGCGCGCGAACTAGAAATATTGTTAACCAGGTACCGGAGATCTTAGCACGCCCTGGCCCGTTGGGCCGGCGAATTATCATTATCATTGTCATCATCATCATTATCATCATCATCATCATCATCATCATCATCATCATCATCATCATCATCATCATCATCATCATCATCATCACCATCATCATCATCTTCATCCTCATCTTCATCTTCATCTTCATCCTCATCTTCATCTTCATCTTCATCTTCATCTTCATCTTCATCTTCATCTTCATCTTCATCTTCATCTTCATCTTCATCTTCATCAACATCTTCATCAACATCATCATCAACATCATCATCACCATCACCACCGGTTTTATGGCCTTGCAGCCCCATCATCCCACCTCCCCAGTTGGGGATAGGCCCCTCGAAGCCCGAAGGAAGCAGCACAGATCCCTATCTAGGGGGCAGATCGGCTAGTGGTAACAGTGCCCGGCGGCCATCCGCAGCGGCGACCTTCCTCTTCTGGATGAGGATGACGATGATGATGATGATGATGAGGAGGAGAAGGAGGAGGAGGAGGAGGAGGAGGATGAGGATGAGGATGAGGATGAGGATGATGATGATGATGATGACGATGATGATGAGGATGTAGATGAGGATGAGGATGAGGATGATGGTGATGAGGATGATGATGATGATGATGTTGTTGATGCTGGTGTTGGTGGTGATGATGATGCTCATGATGATGATGATGATGATGATGATGATTTGATGATGATGATGATGATGATGATGATGATGATGATGATGATTATGATGATGAGGATGATGATGATGTTGATGATGTTGATGATGTTGCTGATGATGATGGTGATGATGATATTGATGCTGCTGATGATGCTGATGCTGATGATGATGATGCTGCTGATGATTATGATGATGATGCTGCTGATGCTGATGCTGATGCTGCTGCTGATGATGATCATGATGAGGAGGAGCGTGACGATTATGTTGATGATCATGATGCTGATGCTGATGCTGCTGCTGCTGATGATGATGATGATGATAATGATGATGACGATGATGATGATGATGATGATGATGATGATGATGATGATGATGATGATGATGATGATGATGATGATGCTGATGATGATGATGATGATGATGATGATGATGATGATGATGATGATGATGATGATGATTCTCTGTGGCGAATGCGGCGTTCCGAATCCGAATCTCCTGTCGGCTCGCGAGTTGCCATTGCGGTGCAGTTGAGAGCCCATGCCTACACAAGAGCTCGAGCCTAGATGCGTACGGTTGACATGCGAAGCCCGTGACTCCCCTAACACTCCCTTGACTCGCTCGCTCCTGCCTCCCCAGTGCTTCCGCGCACGTGATTCTCAGAAATGATGAGCCCACTCAAAGGCTGGGAGCTGCTCTCAGTCTCAAGGGCAGCAAAGGTTATATCCAGAAATGAACATGAACTTGCCCAGCTTGGCCTCCCCGACGCCGGCGAGGGACCCGAAGCTGACGACATATCGCGCAAGCGTCTGCGAGTAGGGCCCCGCGTAAGCATGCATCGCGAGGGGGATCGCCGTCTCGAGCTCGTCGATGGCCATGCCGCCAATGACGGGGGGGGGGTTGCCCTGGGGTGGTATTGGCGGGCCTGCTCAAGAAGTCCTGCCAGAAACCGAGCAATTTGGCCTTGTCCGCGCCGAGGCGCGTGCGGAACTCGCGCGGATATCGGTGCAGCGCGCCAAGCCACGATGATGGCAGCACGGCGTGGGACACGAACTCGCCAGGACACGCCGCGATCAGCCGCGGAGCGCCAGTGTTCTGCAAGAGGGCCATCGGGCTGGTCTGCGCGTTCTGGTCGTTTTGGGGCCGCGACAACCCCGTGAGCATCGGGTGGGCGGAGCCGCCGTCCACGCCGTAACGCGCCAAGCATTGCAGCCGCTGGGCGCTCATGGTGCCCTCGCATCAGGCCAACAAGCGATAGCCAAACAATCGGAAGATCGTCGGTGGCGGGCCAGCAGCCGGCGCCGCGGCGACGAGCTCGTCCGCGGCCATCCGTTGCCGGCAGCCGCCTCGGCGGCGCCTGGGGCGCCCGCAAAGTTTCCAGCATAGCCGAGGTCTGAGCCCAAAGCTGGGGTCTGAGCCAAAACGGTTCTACGCATGGTGGCCGCGATGGCGATGGTGATGAGGTTAGAAAGAGCGTGTTCTGACGCTGCTGGCGGAAAACCGGGGGGGGTCACTACCGGTTCGAACCCCTCCCCCCCCCCTCCGGAAAACCGGGGGGGACCACTACCGGTTCGAACCCCTCCCCCCCCCAGTTCATCATGAAAAGGGGGGGGGGGTCACTACCGGTTCGAACCCCCCCCCTCCCTCGAAAACCGGGGGGGGGGTCATTACCGGTTCGAACCCCCCCCTCCTCGAAAACCGAGGGGGGGTGCGGACAGTGGTGGGGACGGTGGTGGTGGGGACAGTGGTGAGGGGACAGCGGGACAGTGGTGGGGACAGTTGGACAGTGGTGGGGACGGTAGTGGTGGAAACAGTGGTGAGGACAATGGTGGGAACAGTGGGGACAGTGGACAGTGGTGGGGACGGCGGTGGTGGGGATCGTGGTGTGGGGGCAGTGGGAATGAGGTGGAAACAGTGGGACAGTGGAGGGTACAGTGGTGGTGGGGACAGTGGTGAAGGCGGTGGCGAGGACGGCGGTGGGACAATGGGACAGAGGTACAGTGGGGACAGTGGTGGGGACAGGGGGGACAGTGGTGGGAACAGTGGAACAGTTCAGTGGGACAGCGGAGGAGTCAGTGGGACAGTGGGGACAGTGGGGATAATCGGGCAGTGGTTGGGGGTGTGGAGAAAGTGGGGAAAGTGGAACCGTGGTGGGAACAGTGGTGGGGACAGTGGGGACAGTGCGACAGTGGTGGGGGCACTGGTGGGGACAATAGGGACGGTGGTGGAACCAGTGGGGACAGTGGTGGTGAGGACAGTGGTGCTGGGAACAACAGTGGGGGATGTGGTGTGGACGGTGGTAGGGACCGGGAGTCGTTTGCTGGCGGTGAGTGGGGGGGGTGGGGAGGGGTTCGAACCGGTAGTGACCCCCCCTCCGGTTTTTGAGGGGGGGGGAGGTTCGAACCTGTAGTGACCCCCCCCCGGTTTTTCGAGGGGGAGGGGGGGGGGGGAGGGTTAGGGGAGGGGGGGGGGTTGCCGGGGAGGGGGGGGGATTTTCGGAGTGGGGGGGGGCCGGGTTCCAGAGGAAAAGGGCGGCAATTTTCCACAGGAAAGCGGCGGTGGATCACGCTCTCTCTCTCTCTCTCTATCTCTCTCTCTCTCTCTCTGAGGTTATGATGAAGGGAGACCGATGATGATGATGATGATGCGTGCGGAACAAAGGGGATTATTCTCAAACCAACAAAGCAGAGCATGGCAGGACCGCCGTTGATCTTTGAAGGAGAGGAGGGCGAGCAGGAGAGAGGAGGAGGGGGTAACGTGATCAGGAGGAGGGGGACTGATCCAACTCAACCGCTGGGGGGGCCAGAGACCGGGCGAAACCGCCCGGCGTGAAGACATTGCAGCGCAGGGGTCTCGGGGAAGATGGGCGGGCTGCGGGGCGCTGGCGGCGCGCGCCCGGGCCCGTATATACCCGTAGGTGCAACTCCGGGGATGTTAAAGCCAGCATCGGTGCTGGTATATCCGTTGTCGAAATCTGGCCGCCACGCAATGCGGCGCAATCCTTTTGACCCCGCTTTACCCACTTGTATCCGGCTTTTGAATTCCGCCTAATCCGGTTTTCTCTGGCTGAGCCCAGGGCTGAATCCAGCCTAGTCCGGTTCAGTGGCCCTTTACTCGGGCTTAGTAGCCCGTGCTCGCTTTTGCGCAACCCGCCCAGGGGTTGCCTCCTAAAGCCTCCTGACGTCCCCTGCTGGTTTTCGGGTTTCAACTCGAGGCCTTCACCGGCCGTTCGGGACGATCCAAGCACCCGTGGAACGCCTTCGGTGAGGCGCGCCGCCGAGAACCGACGAAAACGTCCGAAAACCCAACCTCGAGCCTCGAGCTTCGAACCCCGAACCTCGAACCACGACGCCGTCGCGGCGCGGCTTCGCCCGGCGGGCCAGGCTCCAGGGCAGGTTGGCGGCCGCGCTCGCGGAGGCGGAGGCGAGCCTGCAGAGGCCTCCGCGCCGCCCGCTCTCCGCGCGGGCCAGCTCTCGGAGCGGGCTGGCCGCATTCTTCTCTGGGGTTTCTCTCTCCGTCGGGAGGGCGCCCAGACCGCGGCAACACCGACTTTGGACTTCCTCTTCTTCCTCCTTTCGGGGGTTGCTGGAGAGCCCCTGGCCCAAGGTGCCCCCAGCTTTTCGCTCCATTTTGCAGCTCCTGGGGCCCTCTGGGCCTCGTGAGGGGTGCTCTGGAGGCCATGGGGGCCTCCTTGGGAATCCTGGGGGCACCTTGGGCCAAGGGCACTTCTAGCAACACCCGATCCTTTCCCCTTCTGAAGTTTTTCCCACCCCTCAGGTTGAGGTCGTGCGGTTTTAGGAGCAGGACTCCCGACCCGCCCACCCTGCATACCGCGGCCGCCAGAACCCCCAGGTCCCACGAGTGTCCCCGAGTGCCCCGCCTCGCGCCGAATAGTCATAACATGACAGAACGGTATTAAATACGAGAGAGGGAGAGAGCGACACAAAGCAGCGAAGAAAAGAGGAAAGATACATATGAGAGATCCAGGAGAGAGGCGCGACGAACAAACGACGACGACGACGACCGCCCACGCGCCCGGCTTAAACAGGCTGCCCCCCCTCTCCCTCCACCTCTGCGGCGGGTGTGGGGTTTCGTGGACCTGCGCCGTGGGCGCATTGGCCCCCTTCGGCTCCCCTCACGCCGCCTTCGGCGCCGCCCCCCCCCCCCCTCCTTAGCGTGCTCCGCGGGCCAGGTGGGAGGCGGTGCCACGAGCCCGGTTGCAGATTCCGCCTTTATCTATTGGGTGGCTTCGTGAGTAAGGCGGAATTGTCCGCTCTGGTTTTTCTGCCTCTTTCAACGCCGATGTTCGCCCAGCTTTGCCGTCGCTGTTTTGGCCTTACGTTTGCGGATGGCCGCCTCGCTATTCTGTGCGCAGTGTTCGGGGAGACTGGTCCACGCAGTTGTGGAGCTTTCCACGAAAGTATGGCAGAAGTGTCCGCCTTAGATTTCTGGGGCGGGGGTTTCCGCCCAGTTTGTTTGTCATTCTACGAGATGCGCTTCCGACGCCATCTTAATTCGGATAATCAAACAAAGTACGGCAGATCCGGATTGAGGGGAGGGTTTCCAGCGCTGGCCCAGGATCGACGCGGACCCCCGCATCCGCAAGTTCACGTTGTGCTGCTTTTTACGCATCATGTCCCCAACTGGGGGCCCTCTGAAGGCTACTCTGGCACGCCCCTTAGCTGCAGATAGCTCTGTCTTTGCACTCTCCTCGTAGTTTTTGTTCAAGAGGCTTGCGTTAGGTCGGGCGCGTCCCCCCGCAGGCGGACTTGGACGAATAATCGAAAATACCCAAAACATATTCAAACATGACTCTAAAAGAATCGAAGCATCGCCCCCGGACTATTTGTTCTACTATTTTGGGATATCCCTCATGCTGAGGGACACGCTCGGCTGAAGGCTCGCGACATTCCACCCCCAGAAGAGCAGATTTGCGGCTTCTGATCTCGTGTGTTGTTCGCCACTTCCTGGCGTGCTGCCTGCGCGTACGTTAGATTTCTGTCGTGTCGACCGGCGGCGACCCCGCCAACGGCGTTCAAAGTTGAACGCCGCGGGGAACCCAGAATCGTTCGATGTGGAACGATTTGGACGTTTCGGAAACGGCCGATCGTTCAAGGTTGAACGACCCCCACGGTGTCAGAAACTAACGCCGAAGTCGGCACGACACGAACTTGCGCGCAGCAGTTTTCTCCTTGAGTTTTTTTCCAAAAGCCCCACAGGGTATTCTTGGGGACCCTCGGGGGATTCCTTAGATGTCTCGGAAGGGGCCTCTGGGGGGCACGTTGGGGGCACGTTGGGGGGTCTTTGGGGGCCGTCTCGAGGGGGAGTCCCCTCTGGGTCCGTGCGGGTTTCCCCCCATTGGGCCTCTATTGTGCGCCTCTTGGAAAACGATTGTTTTTTTTTGTTTCCTCTTCCATCTTGGGGGCCTTGGGGGCCTCTTAGGCAGTCTCTGGGACCTCTTGGGGGCTGTCCTGGGCCAGTCTGCGGGGCCTCTCGGGCTGTCTTTGTTGCAGACACTCGAAAAGGCGAGAACGCAAACACCAGTCCAACATTGATGGTGGATCCATCTTGTTTGCGACTTTAGGCCATCTTGGCTGTTCTCTTGGGGCCCTCTTTCGCCGTCGTCATAGGGGGCGTCTTGGGGTCATGTTAGATGTTCTTGAGGCCTCTCTGGCGTGTTGGAGCTTTCTGAAGAGATTCTCCCCGAGCGGAATGCAGAGAAAACATTGCCGAACCATGGCATCGCCAAGCACACCGCGCCAGGTTGCCACCCTTGCACTGGGAGCAGCAAATTCGTGAAGTGTTGCAAGCAGGGGGGCCTGGACTGGAATGGGGAGGCATGCGGCAAAGGGAGGTGGACACATGTCAGGCGCACGCAGGGCACACAAAATCTTCAACGCCATCAATCAGCACTGTATGCGTTTTCATCTGATGATTCAGTACATTTGGTATTCAGACGGGGGGAGCAATACACGCCCGATTACCATTACCACCTCTCCTCCTCCTCCTCCTCGCCTTCGTCTTACTCCTCGTCCTCCTCGTCCCTCTTCAGTTGTCTCCTCCTCTTCCTGTCCCTTCTCCCCTTCCTCCTCCTCCGCCTTCTCCTCCTGCTTCTCCTCCTCCTCCTCCTCCTCCTTCGCCTCCTCTGTGTCCATCTGGCTAGCCAGCCTCCCCGCCCTTCCCGCCGAAGTCCAGGCTCTGCTCCGCGGTGCAGCGGCGCGTGAGCGCCTCCGAGGCATCGCCGCGCGGCGCCCCCTTTTTCGCTCGGCGAGGTGGAGTTTGCTGGTGCCGATCGATGCTGATGTTACTGTTGATGCTGATGGTGATTGTGCTGGTGATGGTGATGGTGATGGTGATGGTGATTGTGATGGTGATGGTGATGGTGATGGTGATGGTGATGGTGGTGGTGATTGTGGTGGTGATGATGATGGTGGTGGTGGTGATGTTGTTGATGATGGTGGTGGTGGTAATGTTGGTGGTGTAGGATGATGATGATGGTAGTGGTGGTGCTGGTGGTGGAGATCTAGGGACGAGGAGGGATCCTCCCCCCCTCCGCCTCCTCCTCGTCCCAAGTGGTAGTGGTGGAGCTCAACCCACTCATCCAGTTCGAATCCTAGGACCCTTGTGAACATTTGCACGTATCAGGTATAGCAGGTATGGCAGGCAAAGTTTTGTGACATTTCCGTTGCGTCTTGAACTTTGGTGCGAGTTCTGTTCTGTGGGCCGAGATTGAGAGGTCCCGCGTAACTGCCGCGGTTGATATCGAGAGGTCCCATGTGACTGCTGCTGGTCGTTCTCAGAGATCAACGAGGACCAACGAGGACGACCACTGGACACATCTAGCTTCACATCTTGATGCCAGTGCTGTGTTCCCACTGTTTCGGCGAACTGTCCGACAGAGCTTCGCGGACAGTTCCCCCATGCTTTTCAAAGCAAGGAGTCCCAGACCGGGCTAGGACGAGGATAACCCGTTCCAGAGCGTTCCGGAAAGCTTTGAGAGCGTTCCCGACGCTCTGAGAAGGCCGAGGTGCCCGAGGCATCCTCCAGAGCCGTCGGATCTCAGAGATTCTTCATTTATCGTCGCCCGATGTTGTTCTCGTCCTGGTTTCGTCTGAGGATCCGGCTCCACACCACAAGCCACTTGCCAACATGTTTGCTGTACGCTTTGGGAGCGATCGGACGAGGAGGAGGAGGAGGAGGAGGAGGGCGGGGAGACGCGAGGAGGAGAGGCAGAAGGAGTAGGAGGAGGAGGAGGAGGAGGAGGAGGAGGAGGAGGAGGAGGAGGAGGACGGGGAGGAGTAGGAGGAGGAGGACGGGGAGAAGGGAGATGATGTTGATGATGACGATGGTGACGATGATGACGATGATGATGCTGATGATGATGATGACGATGATGATGATGGCGAAGATGAAGATGATGATGATGATGATGATGATGATGATGATGATGATGATGACGATGGTGGTGATAATGCGCTGATGATGTGCTGCTGATGATGATGTGTGATGATGAGATGATATGATGATGGATGATGATGATGATGATGGTGATGATGATGCTGCTGATGATGCTGCTGATGATGATGGATGATGATGATGATGATGATGTTGATGGTGATGGTGATGATGATGGTGATGATGATGATGAGATGATGGATGATGATGGTGATGGTGATGATGATGATGGTGATGGTGATGGTGATGTGATGGATGATGATGAATGATGATGATGATGATTGATGATCATGATGATGATTGATGATGATGTTAATGATGATGATGATGATGATGATGATGATGATGATGATGATATGATGATGATGGTTGGTGGTGGTGGTGGTGGTGGTGGTGGGGGGTGGTGGTGGTGATGATGATGATGATGATTGATGATGATGGCTGATGATGATGATGATGATGATGATGATGATGATGATGATGATGATGATGATGATGATATGATGATGATGAGGAGGAGGAGGAGGAGGAGGGAGGAGGAGAGGAGGAGGAGGAGGAGGAGGAGGGTGAGGAGGAGGAGGGTGAGGAGGAGGAGGAGGAGGAGGTCCGCCCGCGCGCCCGTGCGATGACACCTTCACCTGCCTGGTGCTGCCGCTGTGCGCTATCAGGGCCGAGATGGAGGCTGGGTCGAGCTGAGAGCAGATCTGAGGGTATTCTCATTCCTCCCTCCCCTCCCTCTCCTTCCACCTCCCTCTCCTCCCTTCTCCCCCTTCCTCCCTGCCCTTCCCTTCCTTTTCTCCTTCGTCCCTCCCCTCCCTTCTCCTTCCTCCCGCGCAGCCTGTCTGGCCTGTCTCTCCCTCCCCTCCCCTTTTTGTTTGTCTGTGTTGATCTCGGCTGTGCTCGCATGGCGGATTCAGAGCAGGACAAGCAGGAAGAGGCGGAGGAGGAACAGGAGGAGGGTAAGAAGTAGTGTGAGGAGAAGTCTGAGGATCGAGGATCGAGGATCGAGGAGGGGGAGGAGGCGGAGGAGGAGGAGCAGGAGGAGGAGGAGGAGGAGGAGGAGGAGGAGAAGGCGGAGACGGAGGCGGAGGAGGAGGAGGAGGAGGAGGAGGAGGAAGGAGGAACGGAGGAGGAACGGAGGAGGAAGAGGAGGCGGAGTAGGAGGAGGAGGAGCAGGGGAGGTGGAGGAGGAGGAGGGAAGGGGAAGGGGAGGAGGAGGAGGAGGAGGGAGGAGGAGGAGGAGGAGGAGAGGAGGAGGAGGAGGGAGGAGGAGAGGGGAGGAGGAGGAGGAGGAGGAGGAGGAGGAGGAGGAGGAGGAGAGAGGAGGAGGAGGAGGAGCAGGAGGAGGACGTCGTTGTCATCGTCGTCGTCGTCATCGCTTGTCGATCGTCGCTTGTCGTCGTTGTCGTAGACGTCGTCGCAGACGTCGTCGCAGACGTCGTCGCAGACGTCGTCGTCGTCGTCGTCGTCGTCGTCGTCGTCGTCCTCGTCGTCGTCGTCGTCGTCGTCGTCGTCGTCGTCGTCGTCGTCGTCGTCTCGTCGTCCGCCACGGCACCCGCGAGGACCGAGGATCGAGGATGAGGAGGATGAGGAGGTGGTGGAGGAGGAGGAGCAGGAGGATCGAGCAGGAGGATTCGGAGAAGGAGCCCCCTCCTCCTCCTCCTCATCCTCCTCCTCCTCCGCCCCCCACCTCCCCCCCCTCCTCCATCCTCCTCCTCCTCTAGTCTCCTTCTCCTCCTCGTCCTCCTCCTCCTCCTTCTCCTCATCCATCCTCCATCCTCCTTTCTCCATCCTCCATCCTCCATCCTCCATCCTCCGTCCTCGACCCTCGATCCTCGACCCTCGGTCCTCGACCCTCCATCCTCGCGATCCTCTCGACCCTCGGCCTCGCCGTCCCCCGCGGCGCCCGCCGAGGCGGGCGCAGCCGCCGCCGACGAGGCCGGCCGTGAAGCCCCGCGCCTGCGCGCGACGCTGCGCGCGCAGCTGCAGTGCCTGGGGCAGGCGCGCCGCCTGCCCCCCCGCCGGGCTGCCGCCCTGCCGGCGTCCGCAGCCGCAGCCGCCGCCCCGGCAGCCCTCCTCCACTCCTCGGCCCTCGGTCCTCGGTGCTCGATCCTCGATCCTCCTCGATCCTCCTGCTGCTGCTGCTGCTCCTCTTCCTCCCCTTCCTGCTGCTCCTCCGCCTGCTCTATCTCTTAGGATGTGCTCCTCCCCTCTGTCGTCTGCTCGGTCTTCTCATCGGATCCTCCTCCTCCTCCACTTCCTCTTGCTCCTCCTGCTCCATCTTATGGTGTAAGCCCCCGTTCTGTCTTCTGCTCATCCTCCTCATCATCGTACCTCTCACCTTCTCTCCCTGCTGCTCCTCCTCCTCCTCCTCCACCTCCTCCACCTCCTCCTCCTCTTCCTCCTCCTCCTCCTCCTCCTCCTCCTCCACTGGATGCTGCAATCCCTCTTGTTTCCTACTCATCCTCTCCGTTGCCCATCTCTCACGTTCTCTTCCTGCTCCTCCTCCTCCTCCTCTTCGGCGCGCGTCCCCCCCGCCCCGCACGGCAGGCCGCCGGCCTGCCGGCCGCGCAGACCTTGGAGCAGCAGACGAAGCTGTTCCACCACCCGCGCCCGCAGGAGGTTCAGGAGGCAGCTCGTCGTCCAGCGCTGGAGCCCAGGGGTCTGGTTCGGGCGACTGACGCTCGACCAGGGGTCTGAGCTAGTCCAGCATCAGGCGCAGCGAGTGCCTGCGCTGCAGCAAGCCGGTCACGGGCTGCAAGGATGCGCCCCGAGCCTCTCCATGAAGCTCGCCCGGGTCACGCGCACACCTGAGTGCAACACCGAACCTACCAGGTGGGGCCCGGAGCTTGAGGTCAAGCACGGGACGTCCGGCAGTTGTGTCGCTGGCGTCTCGGAGCTGGTGCACATGCTGTCCAAGCGTGTTGACGATTTGAAGATCGCTGGGCACAGGGAGCACGTCGACCGATTTATCAGCCACATCGAGAGCGTCTTCGGTAGATGAAGGGTGACTGCGACGCACCAATTGCGGAGTGCACCAGCACCGCAGTGCCGATGGCACCCATCTTCAGCGCCCTGCTCACGGACCTTCGCCCCGACGCCGTCCGAGAACAGCATGTCTGGCCATTTTGGTGGTTAGCCGACCAGCTGCGCGCCAAGCAAATCGACGACTTGCGCCAGCGCGACTTTCGGGACATGCGGGCCGACCCCATGACCGAGGGTGGCATGGGCCGAGAGTTAGTCCTCGGCGTGATGGACGGTCAGATCAGCTGTTGCCACGCCGCGGTCAAGTTCAGCGACAAGAAGCTGAAGAAGGCCGTCCCGAGCTCACTGCATAGATCACTCACGCAGAAATGACGAGGTGACTCTGGTGATTGTGTCAAGAGGTCACGCGGAATCGGAAAACGGATCTGCTTCCAAGAGCCGCAGTGGCCCTTTGGGAGTGGGATGCGAGCTTTATTTCCCGGAGCCAGCCGCGTTGGCCCACTGGGGGTGGGATGCGTGCCCCGATGCCCGCGGACATCGACCGGCGAGATCGACAAGTTGAGCATTCAAATGGGCGGGCTTGCGCAGACTGAGTCCGGGCAGCTCGCGGAGCAGAAGCAGGCGCTCCTCTAATAGTCTTTGCCTAGTCTTGAGGGTTCCACCAGGAGTAAGTCCAACCCTGCCACGGGCGCCGCGCAAGCTTTTGCGGTCGGCGCCGTGGGGGCAAACTTGCTTTGGGTTGGAAGGACGGCCGGTGGTCTTGAGACCTGCCGAATATACAGGTCAACGCATTTTTCCCGCGAGGCAACTTTTGATGAATGGGGCTGTTAGTAGAGTCCTTTTTTGGAGGAGCGTCTAGCAGAGCCCTTTTTGGGTCCTCGAAGGCGCGACGGACTCGCTCGTTTGAGTGCCAGATTCGAACGCTAGGTCTGTCCACCTTCCTGCCTTTTTTGCCTCGTGGCGGTCTCCCCTTGCCGACGCCGCTTTTGCTCAGCGGCGCGGAAGATGGCCAAGTTTCCGTGCCCGCGTTGTACGCGCCTTACACCATTCGTCTTATAGTCCGCGCTACTGAGAAGTGCGCCCGTCACATCTACGTCCTCATTTATGGTGGCTGCCCGCTGAGTGGCCTTGCTGCTGCTGCTGCTGCTGTTCCCTCCTTCCTCCCCTTTCTGCTCCCCGCCCCCGCCCTTTGTCCCGATGCCCATCATCTTACCCATCCTCCTGGTTTCGCTCCTTGTGCTTGCTCCTCCTTCCTCCTCGTCGCCGTCCTCCTCGTCCTCCTCCTCCTCTCCTCCTCTCGTCCTCCTCCTCTTCCGCCTTCGCCTCCTCCACTCTTCGCCTTCCTCCCTCCCCTTCCCCCATCCACCTTTTTCCCTCCGCCCTCCATCCGCCGCCCTGCTCCCCTTTTCCTGCTCCCTTTTCGTCGTCGTCCTCGTCATGATTTTTCTGCTGCTTCTCTTTCCCATGCTGATGCTGCTGCCCGTTTTGCCGCCCGCTGCTCTGTCTCTCTCCCTCTCTCTCTCTCTCTCTCTCTCTTTGTTATATATATATATATACACATCTCTCTCTCTCTCTCTCTCTCCCTGTCTCTTTTGTTTGTTGCTGTGCTGTCTCTCTCTCTCTCTCTCTCTTTGTTGCTCTCTCCTCTCTCTTTCCTTATTGCCCGTTCGCTTCCAGATCCACATCATGCTCGCGGACATCGAGCGTTACCGATTCATGCACAGCGTCGGCGACCCTGCCGAGGTGCCAGGGCCCGCCACGCGGATGAGGAGGACAAGGGTTCCAGGAGTTCTCCGTCTCTATGAGGAGGACGCCGGGGAAGGGGGGAGTCGTCATCCCTTTGTTTCCCTCCGTCTCCACTACCCACCACGACGACGACGTCGGTGACGACGCCCCCTGGGACGACGCCTGCGCTTGCGCCTCCGCCGCCGCCGCCACCGCCGCCGCCACCGCCGCCGCGGCCGCCGCCGCCGCCGACGGCGACGACGGCGACGACGGCGACGTCGACGACGACGGCGACGCCTGCGACGATGTCTTGCAACGACGGCGGCGACGACGGCGGCCGGCCGCGGCGGCGGCGGCGGCGGCCAGCCGCCGCAGGCGCTCAATCGCGCGCAAGGGCTCTACTGCTCCGCGCTGGAGGCCTGGCGCGGCGCGGGGCAGGGCGTCGGCGCCACCCCAACGTATTGGTATCATATGTGCGTGGCCCCCCCATGGGCGACGCGCGTACCGAGAAATCTTCTGGTGTATGCGCCGTGGCCGGCGCTTTCTGGCCACACCGCTCGGGAAGCGATTTGCTACAAGATGGGTGTGCTACATGTTCGGGTCGCTCGCGCGCCTTCAAGGAGGACATATCGTACTAGAAAGCCTTGGTGCGTCCCAGGGCGCGTCGCCCACCGGCAGGGCTCCCCTGAGCTCTGGGCGTCGAAGCGAATCGAGTCGGAGAGGTCGAAACGAGCCCTGGAGGCGGGCCCTGAGGGGAACTTGCCGTGGGCCCCCGGCGAGGTTCCTGCCTAGGACTGGCCCTTCGTCCTCCCTGAGAGTTGGGCGTCGCAGTTTCTTCCCGCAAGGGGCGTCTTCGCCCCGCTTTGGGCCCAAGGGCCAGCACATGCCGATGCGGCTCAACAGAAAGTGCCGTGGAAAGGTGGGGTCCTGGGCTCTCCCGTCGTGATTTTTGGCAATGTTGCGTTTTGTTTGGCAACGTCGGGTCTTAGGGCGTTCCACGGCCCTGGGGCGGTGGGCGGGAGCCCATCTGTGTGGCCCTCCGCCGTGGAGGAGGGCTGGACCACCCCCCAGGGGCGCAAATATAACTCCTGCGGCGCCTCCTCCTCCTCCTCCTCCTCCTCCTCCTCCTCCTCCTCCTCCTCCTCCTCCATTCCTTGTCCTTGAAATTCATCCTCCCTGTCGCACCCCGAGCTGGTCGAAAGGGCGGACCGGGCGTTTCGTCTGAGGCTTCCTCACCACTTATGACCCTGAAGATTTCAATTTGTCAACAGTTTTACACGTGGAGGGCGGGTGGTTTTCAAAATGTGGCCCCCGCCCTGTCGCCGCGCACATTCGCTTTATCAAATTGCAAGAGTTTCGCGGATTGAGGGAGCGTCGTTTTCAAAATTCGGTTCTCGCCTCAGCGCCGCGCACATTCGTCTTAACATTTGGAAAGGGTTTCACGGATTGAGGGTTGATGGTTTTCAACCTTTGGCTCTCGCTTTATTTCCGCGCAAATTCGTTTATTTGAAATTTTGCAAGAGCTTCACGGATCGAGGGAGCGTCGTTTTCAGAATTGTACTATCGTTTTTGCGCTGGGCACATTCGTCTTCAACTTTGCAAGAGCTTCACGGATTCAGGGCGGCTCGTTTTCAAGACGTGATTCTCGCCTCAGCGCCGCGCACATTCGTCTCAAGCTTTTACAGGGGCGGACTGCGCGGGAGAAGCGCGGGACTCCCGGACGCCGCAGTAGTGCCCCGCCCCGCCGAGACGACGAGGTCCGGTCCCCCAAGCAGACTCGAGTCGGGGGTGGACAGAACCCCCACCCTGACACGTCGATTAGTGAATTGGCCGTTTTCGGTTCTCGAGAGGGCGCCGCGGCCGTCATTTTTCAGGCTTGCGCCCGCCAGGTTTGGGTCCGAGGTAGTTTTCATTAATTCACGTTTTACTAAGGGGGGGGCCCAGCGCGGATCCAAGAAGCCCGCGCGGAGCGCCCAAACTCTATGTTTGTGGCGTTTTTTCTTCGACCTCAGAGCCCTGATCACGAGCACTCAGCCCCCTCCTCCCTCTCGCTCACCGACCACCGGGTCCGGCTCCCTCCCCAGCTCCCACCAGTACCGCTGCACAGTGAGCGGCGGCGCTGCCCACGGGCGTACCCCGCAGAATGCCGCCTGGCGCCGCTCGCTCCCCGCTGCACCCACGCGGTGAGGTGTGTTCGCGTGGGCCCGACCTGGCCCAGTTTGGGACGGGGACGAGACGAGAGGCGAGCTGGAGAAGCCAGCCTCGTCGGTCGGGATGGCCCTCGAGTTCCAGCTCTCTCTCTCTCTCTCTCTCTCTCTCGCAATATATATATATATATATATATATATATATGTATCTCTCTCTCTCTCTCTCTTTCTCTCTTTCCGCTCGCTCTCTGCGCGGGGCTCGATTCGTTCCCGCGCGGAGCGACGTTGACCGCGCGCTCGCCTTGCATCGCGCCTCCGGCAAAAAGGCGAGCAAGTGGGATTCCACGCTGCCAGCTGCCCCCTGCAGCTTTCCTTACCCGTCCTCTGTATCCACAGATCCGATCGCATGGCTGCTTTTCTGTACATATAAGAGCAAGCCAGCAAGCCGCGGTCGTGGCAGGCACCTTGGCTCAAACCGCTCGCCATCTTGGCTCAAGCGCCCGCGGCTGTGCTTTGACGCGTGTCGTTACCGCTCTTTATAGGATGTGGTGCTTGTGGCCTATAGGCCCAGAGCGGTGAGGCGTGAAGTCGATGATGCACGTGGGGGCAGTAGCCAACGCTGCCGTAGCCGTCATCGGAGTGGTCTGTTGGTACCTCCTCGTCTTTCATCACGTGGAGGGCGTGGATGTACTGGATGCCGAGGGCGCAGGAGATCGAAGAAGAAAAAACGCCATAAACATAAACTTTTGGCGCTCCGCCGGATTTCTTCTAACCGTGCCTGGGCCCCCCGCCCCTGAGGCGCTCCGCGCTCCAGGGAGGGGGGTCCGGCGCAGATCCAAGAAATCCGCGCGGAGCGCCAAAAGCGTCTATGTGGTTTCTTCTTCTAGGAGAGCGCATCGTCAAGTTCGACGTCCTGGCCGTGGATGCCTCCAACAGGTCCGCCACCGACCCCGTGGCGCGGCTCACCCTGGGCCTCGCGGCGGCGCAGCCCGAGGCGCTGAGCCTCGAGGATCGGAGGTTGATAGACGTCCTACCCTGACACGCCGATTAGCGAAGTGGCCGTTTGCGGCTCGCGAGAGGGCGTTGCGGCCGTCGCTTTTGAGGGTCCGGGTCCGTCGGTTTTTCGGTCCCAGGCCGTTTTCACTAAAGGGTGGTTTATTAAAGTCAAGTCGGGCCTGTCCCTCTACAGGAGGAAACTTCAAAAATGGCATTTTTTGTCAATTGTGGAGTACTTTTTTACTGTTTTTGAATTTCTCCTCGAAGATCGGCCTGCAGGGGAGGCTTGTCCACCGCCGAGAGGAGCTCCTGCGCTCCCCCGCTGTGGCGTTCTTTGCCCTGGACTGGTCCCTGAGCTTCTTCGTCTTCCTCGAGCTGGCCGACCCCCCGGCCGCGTGGCGTGAGCCGCCCCTGGACCGTTGCATCCCGCGGCACGCCGGGAAGGTCGCGTGGAGCGTGCCGCTCTTCGAGGTGGAGCGGTGGGCGCAGTCCCGGGCGCTGCCGGCGGCCCTCTGGGTCGTCGGGCGGCGAGATTTGCACGCATCGAAGAAGGACAAAACGCCACAAGCATAGACTTTTGGCGCTCCGCGCGGGTTTCCTGGATCCGTGCCGGGCCCCCCCCCTGGCAGCGCCTCCGGCGCCGCTCCTGGCGCGCTCCGCGCGCCAGGCAGGGGTGTCTTGGCGCAGATGCAAGAAATCCGCGCGGAGCGCCAAAAGCTTATGATTACAGTGGAGACCCATGCCAAGAAACACCCTGCTTCCCTCCAGGGTGCCCTGGGTTTCTTGGGCTTCGATGGTTTTGCTGCTGAAAGCGCGACGTTCCCACGCCAAAGATCAATGGACGTCCTGGGGTCTCAGGCTTGGGCTTCTTGTGGAAGGTTTCTTGTGGACTGGCCTCCACTGTATGCCGCTTTTCCCTCGTCTAGCCCTTCCGCCTACCCCTGGCCAGGCCCATCCTGGGCCCCAGAGCGGTGGGCACTGTCTTCCCGTCTTCAAGATCAGCGTGCTGTTTTTTCCTGTTTCTGAAGCCATGTTCTTGGAGGGTGGGGGTTCTCGCTCGCACCAGTTTCGGTTCGGTTCGGTTCCGTCTTGTACTGCCGTACCTGTTCTGTTCTTTGGGCTGCCGTTTTTTCCCCCGGTGTGGTTTGCCGAAAGCCGCACAGCCGAAAACGGATAACCGAAAATGCCCCCCGGCGTTTTTGACATCGACCGAGTCCGCGGCCGCTTGAAAACTCTGCGGCGGGGGAGGGGGGGAAGTGAGAAGGCGAAGGCCCTCTCAGAGAGCGCCGGGGGGCTTCTCGGAAGCCCTCCTCCCGCCTCCGGAGAGGTTTTCTGTGTTCGCGGGGGAGGCTCGGGGGGGAGGCTTGGGCACCTTCTCGGAGGTCTTGGGGACCTCTGAGCCTTCTGAGACGGCTCGCCCCGACCCCTCTCATCATCGAGAGTACAAGAATCCCTAATTTTAAGTCGGGCACGTCCCTCTACAGGGGGAATATTCGAAAATTGTCAAAAATGGTCTGGGGACGATTTTTCTATTATTTTTGGATTATGTTTTGGGGCATTTTTTGAGTATGTTTAACTTTTCCTCCAAAATCCGCCTGTAGGGGACGTGCCCGACGTGACTCTTATAACATAGTGAAGACGTAGCCTCACTGAGACCCCCGTCTTTGCATCAGTGACGATAGCTCTGGGCGCTTTGGTTCGATGCCTCTGCAGAAAAGAGCCTGGACCTGATGTTTTTGGCCCCCCTAACTTGGGTCCTTCCCGAAGGATCAGGGGTCCTTGTTTGGTTACTCATCTCACTTCCCCCCCAGGCGTGCCGCCGACAAAAGGCCCCCAGCGTTTCCTGTGTCCTGAGAAGTTTTCTGTGTCCTCGGGGGAGGCTTGGACAACTTCGCATGGCGCCAACATCGCAGAGCGGATTTCGTTTGGAAAGCTATAGGATGGGCCCAGAGTGTCCTTGAGAAGTTTGTTCCAGATCTCAAGGCGACTTTCGTGCGGATTTTTGTTGGCCAGGAGCGAAGACTAAAACAGATCCAGGCGAGATTCACTTCGTTTTTGACTCGCCGCTTCTGGGGGCTCTGCACCGAGCCCTCCTGGGAAGGCTCGCCCCCTCTCGCGCCCCCCCCCCCCCCCAGGCGCGCAGCCGAACAAGAGACTGCCCCCAGGCGCTTTTGGAGGGCGCCGGCGCCGCTCCAGGGGCCCCGGGGTGGGCCTGGCCGGGGGCGGGCGGATGTTGCACGGCAGTCCTAGGTCGGGCCTGTCCCTCCTGCAGCAAGGGAGAGCCTCCAGAATGGTCCAGCAATGACTCGTGGGACGATGTGTCGATTCTTGTTTGACTGTTCCTGGTGTTGTTGTAACTATTTATATTATTTGTCCTCCAAAATCCGCCTGCAGGAGGGCATGCCCGACCTAACGATAGTCAGCATGGGCAGCCTTTCTAAGGGGGATCCTTGCATCCTGGCCTCTTGGCCCGCCGCACTCGAGACGCCTCGGCATGCCCTGAGATCCGACGCTGCGAAAAAAGTGAAACGCCGCCAAAAATGTCGTTGTTTTCTTATTCATTGTTTTGCCGATCGGCGCGGGCCCTCGCACCCCCCCCCTTCCCCCCCCCCCCTGGAGTAGATCTTGGCTGTTTTGGGCGGCTGTTTCGAGCAGGTGGAGCCTCCCCCATACTGGACGCCCTGCTGCAAACAGTCGCACTAAGCAGCGGTCCGGAGCCAGAACCCCCCTCCCCCTCACCCCCTTCCGCCCAATGTCGAAACTCCGAGTAAGAAAACGCCCACCGTCGCCACCGGACCCCTGGAAGACCCCGTCTTTTGGCGCCATTCTTCGAGCTGAGAGTCGATCGGCGCGGGTTCCCTGGGCGGGGCCCGAGATCGAGCGGAGGCGCTCGCGGCGAAGCAGGTAGCAGCGCCAGGATCGCAGGGTGGGCCTCCGAGGGGCTCGCCTCCTTCTCGCGCCTCCCCGGCGTCAGTCCTCCAGGAGGGAAGAGAGCACACAGACACAGTTCATCGTCGACTCCCAGGAAAACACTAGGGGGAAACTCTGGGAAGTGTGGAGGGGGGGAAGACGAGCGCCAGAAGATCTATGGGAACATATGGGGGCTCCTGGGATATTTGTGTGTACACCTATCTTCGTGTGTCCCTGGGCCCCTGGGACAGTTGTACGTGTGTGTGTGTGTGTGTGTGTGCGTGTGTGTGTGTGTGTGTGTGTGTGTCTGTGTGTGTGTCTAGATTCGTGTGTCCGTGGGCCCCTTTGGTGTCAGTCTCGGCCGCCGGCCTCGCCGCCCCCCAGGTCTGGAGCCCGGGCGGCTGCGGGCGCGCGCCCGCCCGCGCAGTGCTGGCCGCGGCCGGCTCCCCCGAGGTCCGACCGCTGCGGGCCCGCCTGCGCGCGAAGGGGGGCCGCGGAAGTCCGCGGCGCGCCTGGGGTCGAGCAGTGGCGAAGCGTTCTGGCGTGCCTATAGGCCTACCAAATCATGGTCTAGGAACCTTTTGTGGTTTCCACGGAATGTTTTTAGAATATTTCTGGCTGGGTCTGCACTGTTTAAACACATCGATTTATGTTCTAAGCACATTGTTTTTGTTCCTAGAACATGCTTGGGCTCTGAGAAGAAATCGTGGTAGGCCTATAGGAATGCCAGGACGGTCGGTCCCTGCTCAACTGGGGGGAGGATCGGGCGGGCGGCGCAGGGCAGGGCCCCCGGCCCTGTGCAGGGCCCTACAAGAGGGGCCCCGAGAAGGGTGAAGAGCAAGGCCCTCAAAGGGGGCCCCTGGAGCGGAATCCCAAAAAGGACCCCCCCCCACACGAGGTGAGGAACGTGGCCCCAAATGGGGGCCCTTTCGGGCCCCTTTTTGGAGCCAGCAGGGCGTTTTGTGGGGAGGACCGGGCGGGTATTACCAACGATCACGATCACAGCGATCACAACGATCACAATGGTAACGATCGTATCGTTGTCGTTGTGATCGTTATCCTTGCGATCATTGTCGTTGTGATCGTTGTGATCGTTGTTATCGTTGTTTTCGTTATCGTTTTGGGGGTGACCTATATGGGGTCATGAGCAGGGCAGGACGTTTTCTTTCTTCCCAGGCCATAGCGGGCTTTACAAGGGGGGCCCTAAAGTGGCTTTTTAGGGCCCCAAAGGGGCCCTACATGGGGTGAAGAACAGGGCCCCAAATGGGGCCCTGAACGGATCGTCAAAGGAGACCCCTGAGTTGGGTGAAAGGGCCCCTATCGGAGCCAGCGCTTCTTTAATCCCTGGCGAAAGCGGGCGTTACCGGGGGGGGGGCGGGGAGCGGTAACGTCGCGCTCTTCGCGCCAGCACCGTTTGGGAATGTCGAGGAATAACTCAATCGACAACTCGGACGCCAGCACGAATCCTGACGTTTCTTGGGGTGGGGGGGGAGGGCGGCCGGGGCCAGTAATGGCCGCTATCTCGAACAGCAAAGGAAAAAACTCCCTATGTCTTCTCAGAAGGCGGCGGGCTGGCCTGCTGCTGAGAGGCTCTCGGCGCCTTTAGGGAAGGCCCCGACAGCTTCTCAGAAAGCGCGAGGGCCTCTGAGAAGCCTCGCCGCCTCCTGAGAAAGCCTGCCCTCTTGCATCGAAAAAGGAAAAACGCCATAAACATGAACTCTTGGCGCCTCCGGCGCCGCCCCTGGCGCGCCCGCGCGCCAGGGAGGGGGGTCCCCAGCGCAGGTCCAAGAAATCCGCGCGGAGCGCCAAAAGTTCTGTTCATGCCGCGTTTTCTTTTTCTATCAACATTTCAGGATGAGGAAGACACGGACACATATAAACGTCGACCTCAAGGCAAATATTGGAAAACATGGGAAGCCGAGGGGAGGACGACCATCCAGAACATATGATAAAATATGGGGGATCCTGGGATTAGTGCCTCATTGCTTGTGTGTCCCTGGGTCCCTTCAGGAAACCCCGCCGCCTTCTGAGAAGGCCTGCCCCCTTACACTCTCCGCCCGAGATATCCTCCAGGTCCGCGGGATCTCAGGGATTCTCGATTTATCCTCACCCGAATGTATCCTCGTTCTGGCTTCGTCTTTGTGCAATGTAGGGGTCCTTCAGTGAAAGGGGCCGGGGTGAAGAAGAGGGCCCTGCATGGAGCCCTGAAGGGGCCCAACATGGGGTGAAGAACAGGGCCCTAAAGTGGGCCTTGAGGGCCCCTTTGGGAGCCAGCAGGGCGTGCTTTTTGCTGTTTTTTGCTTATGTTTTTTTTCTTTTCTTGCCGCCCCCCCCAACGGGCGACAGTCGGCGTGCAGCGACCGGATCTCAGGGTCAGCGGTGGTGGCGGGGAGCTGCTGGGCGGAGCAGCTGGGGGCGGCACGGCCCCGCCTGCCCGAGCGGCGCCGGGGGGAAGAAGCACACCCTGGCCGTGGCCGAGCCGTCGCCCTTCCTGTGAAGCCTTCCCCCTCCTCCTCCTCCTCCTCCTGCTCCTCCTCCTCCTCCTCCTGCTCCTCCTCCTCCTGCTCTTCCTCCTCCTCCTCTACACCTCCTCCTCCTCCTCCTCCTGCTCCTACTCCTCGTCCTCCTCCTCTTCCTCCTCCTCCGTAGCCATTGTGGCTCAAGCCATTTTGGCTCAAGCTGTGCTCTGCCGCGTCCCGCGGTGCGCTTGGGCGATGGCGGCGGTCGGGCCTCTCCGTGGGGAGGTGCGCGCGATGCTGGCGGCCCTTGCCCCGCTCGCGCAGGCGGCGGCGGCTGGCGCTGCTGCCAGAGGAGGCAGCCGCCAAGTCGTGGCGGCGGCGGTTGTGGCGGCGATCCGCACGGGCGTGGAGGTGCTCACCGAGCCAGCCCCGTCGCTCCACATCGTGGACGGCGACAAGGTGCACGAGTACGTGGAGAAGCAGGCGGCGGTCCTCAGTAGCTCCGCAGAGGTGCAGAAGGAGGTCCACGCGCGCCTGAGCATGGTGCGGCCCTTCACGCGCAAGGTTGAGCAGAGGAACGTTACGTCGGGGCAGAAGGCGTACAGAAGCCTGTCGTTGAATGACGGCCTGGGTGCTGGTGCTGACTCCCTCCCTACGACCGCGCTGGAGGCCAAGCGTCGTCAGCGCTCAGGGCGGCGCCCTTTGCAGGCCTTGGGCAAGTCCCAGTGCGAGTAGGAGGATTGCAAGGCCACCGTTGAGGTGAAGAAATTGACCGCGACCACGTACGATTCCGCTGGCGATTGTGGAGTCCGAGTCCGTGAAGGTATCGGAGGTCGTGCGTGCGGCCGTGGGCGAGGTCGACGCTTGGTCGAGCTTCGACGCCGAGCAGTTCCTCGACAAGCTGTTCAAGAGCCGCCACGCGGTGATCAACTCCAATCGTGCGGAGGGTGAGCAGGAGGTTGGGCTCTCCGAAGTCGGCGCCAGCACGGAGGACGTGGTGCGCCAAATCGGGCACGACGGTGTGGACATCGACCTGGTCCACGCTTTCATGTCGACCCACCACTTCCAGCAGTGCTACCTCCTCGAGGACGTGACCCTCTTCCGCGTCAGCGGGAGGGCTGTCGGAGACCTCTGATGGGGCCCGCCGCTCGTTGGATCTGCCTCGGTTGCCGGCTGGCGCTCCCCCCCCCGGCGTGCGTTGCGGGCGTGGCGCCGTCGGGGTCTGTGCTCGCTCTCTCGGGTGCGTTCCCGTTCCCCCTTCCGGTGGGCGGCCTCTGGGGGCCGCTGGTCGCCCGTCCGTCCTCGCGGGGTTGGCTTCTCCTCCTCCTCCTCCTCCTCCTGACTCCTCCTCCTCCTCCTCCTCTTTTCTCCTCCTCCTCCTCCTCCTCGTCCTCGTCCTTTCTCCTCTTGCTCCTCCTCCTTCTCCTCTCTCCTTCTCTTTCCTCCTCCTCCTCCTCCTCCTTCAGCTCCTCCTCTCTCCTCCTTTTTTTTGCCGTCCACGGCTATGTCTCAGAAATGATTTGAAACCTGGCAGAGCGAGACACCCCTGGCAGGAATAAGCGGGGCTCAGTCCGAATCGCTCGAAAACCGAGTCCTGGAAGGCCCCGAAAAAAGAACACGCGCAGCCTCATCCTCCTCCTCCCACCCCTCCGGAGCAGCGAGGGCCCCGCCTGGCGGGGCGCGCTGCGCGGGCCGGCCTCCAGCGGCAGGGGCCTGGCCTGACCTCGCTCCTGAGGGAGGGACGAGGGCGGGAGGGGGAGGGAGGGGAGGCTCACGAGGGAGCGGGGATGAGGTGAGACGACCGAGCGACGCCGAGACAGGTAACGAGCAGCCAGTCTCTACCACCACGTGTGGTTTATCTGGATGGCTGCCCTTCTGGATCTTTCTCCAGTTCTTGTGACCTGTGACTGTCGGCGGCTGACACACCTGGCCCAGTTTCTTGACCTGGGCCCCAGGACTGTAAGACCTGCAGTGCAGGCAAGTGAACAAGAATGAATTATCGGAGCAGGTTAGAGCGATGACTTTATGCCCCAGCCTGTCCAATACAGCAGAGTCGAGCCTGGAGTGGCCCCTGCACCCCCCTGGCTCAGGCGGGCGCTTAGAGAGGGACCCTAGGAGGCAAACTCTGCACCTCCAAACTGAACTGATGAGTTCCCATTGGTGCTGCAGCCGATGCACGGCAGGGGCAGGAGGACGAGGAACACGCTCCACCCCGAGGAACTCCACACGAGGCCAAAGGGGGAGGAGGGCAGCACCGAGGGACATCACCGTCTTAGACACCCTAATTTTCCAGTCGAGCTCCCGAGACAGACTGGGGTCAAAGGCAGGGTGTCGGGCGACTGCACGCCTGGCACCAGCATCCGCTAGCTCGTTGCCCTTCCTCAAAAATCTTTCATCCTCAGAGAGATCAGGGGCATCTGGATCGAGGTGGGCATCGACTTTGGCCAGCGAGCGCAGCTTCCCTTGCCCCAAAGACAAGCCTTGCAACATGAGCCCAGAATAAACCCTCTTGGGAGACTTGCACACATCGAGGCCTAGGGAGTACTGTTTAACGACATTAGCGCAATCACTGTAAGCGTCAGCCTGGCCCCCTACACACACGCCAATGCCACAAAATGCAGAGTACTCAGCAGCCTGGGGCGACTGCGCGTAGGGGGGCCAAACTGGGGCAGAAACTTCACAGACTAAATTGGCCTCGGGGTCCACCATGGCAACACACCAAGCGCTCCTGCAGAGTTCAGACACAGGGTGGCGGATGCAAGAGCCATCTATAAACAAGGACCCCCAGACCCCAAGGTCAGGAGAGGTAGGCGTGGGACCCAGGGACCCAGGGATAGTGACCTCAGGGACCATCCAGTTGACCAAGACTTCTCCATTGCTCTCGGGCCGAGGGAAGTAGTCACCAGGGTGCCGAAAGGCTCCATATATCCAGAGAGTGGCCTCGTAACCCTCAGCTGCAGTGTCGAGGGCACTGGCAATAATCTCATCATCAGCAATTTCTTCACGCACAGAAGAGCGCGACGGGCACTCCCAAAGACGGTGCCACAATGTGTCAACCTCGGAGTGGCACAGCAGCTGGCAGATGTCGCTAATCTGGTAGCCAGCTAGCTTCGCAGAACTGGCGGTCCAAATGGCGTTGCAGGCCAAGGCGCGCATCGTCGACCTATCCTTAGGGCTGGTGCGTTTGGACCTGATACAGGATTTGACAATGTCCCAGCAGAGCCTGTGCTCGACCCCCAGCTTCTCCCCCGAAGACCGTTCAAGCCCCTCAACACGGCAGCCCGACACAAAGCCCCCACAAGGCGGGGGGACAGCAGCAGGAGCTGGAGGGTCTCACCCAGGTCCGAGATGATGGTGCAGAAGTCTGCCATCTGCCACCCTACGCGGTATAAGGACATCCTGAGGGCCGAGACAGGACCCCTCACCTTGGCCCAGGACCAATCATCCCTGCCGAAGATGACTTCCCAGGCGGAACGCATCGAAGCAAACGACAGGGCCCCATCAAAAGCCTTAGTCTGCACAAGCCACAGCTCTTTGCACCAGCGAATGATCGGGGCCACACTCGCTCTCCAAGGGGGGTCCCCTTCAAGGAGCGAGAGGGTGGTGAGGGAACGGTGCTGGGACTTGGGGGAGATAGTGGCCATGCCCTTACTCCTGAGCGAGTGGAGCTCGCGGTCCGAAACTCCCCAAATTTCAGACCCAAAGGTGACGCCCGCCAGCGGGCCCGACGCAAAAATCTTGACAGCGGACCTGCCCAGGTTGCTTTTGTGCTTGTCGAGGCGCCTGCATTGGCGGAAAAACTTGGCCTGACGAGCCTTGAGTTTGGCTGACTTACCCTTTCTTGAGCCTGGGGTAGTGGTGCGTAATGAGCGGCCTGCCGTGTAGTCAGTGCCCAAGTTAACCGCCGAGGCCGAGGGCTTGCCGCACAACTCTCCCAGTCGCTCCTCGAGCTGAATAGATATCGACTTGTGGCTGCACACACATCCCACTTTGTCGAGCGCCAGCACACAACCGAGCTCTTGGGTGACAGCCTTGTGTAAGCTGACAGAGGAAGAAACTAGTGCCTCAACGACTTCGGGGACCGTGCCCGTGTGCGAGAGGCACGTGTCATCTATGTAGGCGTCGAAATCAGTGCCACTAGCCAGAACATTGCACAGCTTATCGAAGGCCTTAAGAGCGAAAACTCGGATGAACGAAGTGGCCATCGAACACCCAGCTACGACCCCACAACTGACCCAGTACGGCCCCTCGATGATGCCCCCAAGGCTGAGAAATCTGCACGAGCGATAGGCCGCCATGGCGACCCTGGTGATAACAACGGGAAAGTCGAGGCATTGGCACTGATTCTCGAGGAAATCGAGGGAGATGCTCTCGTAGTACTTCTGAAGGTCATAAAAGACTGACCCTGAAGTGAGGCCCTTGGAAACTCCCGCTTCGGCTTTGAAGCTCTGCCTCCAGACAACATCCGTAGCGCCCCGATTGGCACCAGCAGCCCAATAGGGCCTCGCAAACTTCTTTTCCCAATCCAGAGCGAAGGGCCGCCTGGCTCGGCCCCAAAGCCGATGCCACGAAACAAAAAAACCCGATGGGCCTGAAGCCCCCGACTGGTTTGGGCAAGAGGGCCAAGAGCACAACCATTAACTGATTAGGAAGCCTCCCCGTGGCTTCGATGACGTACAGGAGCCCCGAGAGGGCAATGAGGGCGGCGTCGCACAAAACCGAATAGTGACGCAGGTGGAAACCGTCAACCGAAACCGCACTCTGTTTACGGTAAGTCTTGCAGACCTGGCGGATTTCCTCAGGGGAGAGACGGGGCAGGGGGGTAACCAAACGAACAGGGCCCACAGGAGGCCCGCTCCCCTCCCCCCACCAAGCCTGGAAGCGCTTACCTTCGGCAGACAGAAGGGCCCTGGGGTCCGCCACAATTTGGCCGTTCGCCGCAATGGTGACCGAGGGAACCCAAGGAGTGGGGTCTCTAAGAA